AATTAAGCTCTTTTTAAGGCCCGAATACCTGTAAAAATAAAAATAAAAAAAATTACACGGTGTTACCGTGACAAAATTTTTTTGTTTTTTTTTTCTTTTTGATTTGTTTTCCGACATCTATTTTTAAATCTCTTACGTTGAAAATTTTATTTTTGGCACGTGAATACACATTTGAAATCATTGAATTTAAAATACGTTTTATTTTTTAAAAAATTCCTTTTGAAAATTTTTTTATTTTTTTTTTGGAATTTTCTTTTTTTACAAAAATTTCTAAAGCAATAATAGAAAATATAGAAAATATTAATTTCTATTTTGATTTCTAAATTTTTTTTTTTCGAAAATAAAAATCAACCTCTAATCAATATGTAGATTTATTATAGATATATTTGAAATATTTAATTGATGATTTTGCTGTCAGTCAAAAAATAATTAATCAAAATTAAGCGACACACACACACACAGAGACAGAGACACGTAGTTACCACGTGTTTAGATTTTTAAATACATTATTATACGGCTCGAGAAGACTCATAATAATAATAACTTTGTGAAAAAGACACGGGAAACACCCGATTTTTTTTTTTTTTTTATTTTGATACAAAATCCCCGGGCATTTTTATTTTTAATGAAATTTTCAAATATAATTTTAATTTCTTTTAAGGACGGATGTTCAAAACAAATTTAAATTAAATTTTTCTCCATGTAAAATTTATTATACATCTACCGAATGATTAAAAATCATAACAACAAAGTCTCGCACAAAAAAGACTTTTCCAAAAAAAAAATGCAAATACTAAATTATATATTTTTCTTGTTAAAATTAAAATTTGTATTTTTAATAATTATTCATTAAAAAAATAAATTAATTCTTTCATAATTATTTATACATAGTGTGTGTGTGTGTGTGTGTGTGTGTGTGTGTGTGTGTGTGTGTGTGTGTGTGTGTGTGTGTGTGTGTGTGTGTGTGTGTGTGTGTGTGTAACCATGTGAATGAAAGTTTTTTTTTTTTTTTTAATTAAATTACCCGCATTGTTATTATTATTATTAATTGTTTAAAATATTTATATTACATATTATCAATTATTTTAGAAATTAATTTACTTGTAACCGTAACACAAATTTTTTTTTTTTTTTTTTAATTTAAAAAACTCACTGGAATGAATTTTGACACTCGTGGATGAATTTACTCATTCGTAAAATTTTACGTTTTTTTTTTTTTTTTTTTTTTTTTCTTTTTCTTTAAATCCGTGACATTATTTAATTTTTTTTTAATTATAATAACCGCTAAAATTACAAAAGTATGAAATAACATAATAATGGCGTTTTTTTTTCTTACAAGCAATTAAACAATGACAATAATTATTTTAACACGAACGGTTATTAAATAATTTAACAACAACAGAATTTATAATTTTTTTTAAAAAAAAAGAAAGATACTTTCACAAAAAAAAAAAAATAATTTTTTCCTGTGGTGTTTAAAAAAAAAAAAAAAAAACATATTTATGTTAATGCAACAAACAAGTTTTATTGAAATTAATAATAATAATAATAATAATAAAATAAATCAAAAGTTTATTTTCAAAAGTAACTTTTTTTTTTTTTTTATCAAGTTTTAACAAACTAGGGTGTTGACTGGTTTACCTCCTTTCTTTTTTTTTTTTTTCTCTCCAGCACGTCTCTCTCTCTCTCTGGAATAAAATTCAACCTTGATATCCTACTAAGGTTAAAATTCTACCTTGATTACTTCCTATTACTCTCATTCTTTACAAAACTGTTTTTCATTTCGCCAGATAAACGATTCAGGTACGGTAAATTGTTTTATTACTGTCTACAAACATCAGCCTTGGATAATTATCAAGCATTCTATGTACATAAATATTAACGATTTGGGGAACAATAATTTTAAAATAAATAAAACCTTTTTTGGTTCCCTCCCCCAAAAAAAAAAAAATATAACGCAAAAATTTTGTATTCGTTTCCTTTTTTGTTTATCGGTAGTATAAAATTCATTTTTCTTTTTCTCTTTATAATAATAATAAAGAGAAAGTATATTTTCAGTATATTAATAATTATATAAACACAAATTTAATAAACAACAAAATAATAATAATAATTTGTCACTCTGTAAACTTCACCATTTTTTTTTTTTTTTTTAAATAAAAACCTACAAACACAAAAAAAAAATTTTGTTTTTTTTTTTCTTCACTCGTTTATATATATATATATTTCGATAAAAATATAAAAAATGTATTCATTCATTCATTCATTCATTCATTCATTCATTCATTCATTTTCATATCACTCATTCGAACATCTCTTAAATTTCTCTATAATTTTTTTTAATTTACGTGATTATCATAAAATGAAACCGACGAGTAACCGACTTTCGAAAAAATTTAAATTTTTTTTTTTTTTTCCTTCTCTCATTTTCTCAATGTAACTGACGTAACAAAACAAAACAAAAAAAGTTTAAAATTACAATAAATGAAGTGAAAAAACAAAAAAAAAAGAAAAAAAAGAAAAAAATTTATGAATATTTATTTATTCGTGAGTAAAAGGAAGGCGAAAAATGGAAAAATTCGACCCTTTGAATACGTTACGATTCAATAAATTAAACTTATTAATTCTTATTATTATTAACCTCTTATTAAGCCTTTCGATTAATAAATCCGACAATACTTTCACTCCAACCTTAGAATACTTTTCTTATAGGTTAAAAATATTCAAACGACCCGTTATTATTATTATTATTATTAAATATTTTTATATCTCGCTATTATTAATTTCTTCAATTTATTCCAATTCGGTATATTATTAAAATAAATTATTATTTGCATTCAGTCATTCATTCATTCTTTTTTTTTAAATAATAATAATAATACTACGTTTTAACAACGCTCTCAATATATTTAAAAAAAAAAAAAAATTTAAATTTAATATCTCATTAATATATATTATTTAAATTAAATAAAATGAATTTTTATCAGCGAAAAACCTAAAAAACATAAAAAAAAACATAAAAAAGGTAGTAGAAGAACATGTTTTTTTTTTCTTAGTTTGTTGTTTTTAATTTTTGGCATAAGTTTTCATTATTATTATTATTATTATTATTATTCGAAAAAACATGTTGTTGTTTGAAAATCAAGAAAGAAAAAAAAATTTTTTTTATTTAAAATTATTATTATTATTATTATTAAAAGAATAAGAAGAAAGTTTTATTTATTATTTTCAAGCAATAAAAGAAACATTAATTCCCTTCTAAAACTATCGACTTATTATTATTATTATTATTATTATTTTTTTTTTTTTGGGGTCAATCTCTTAAATTTAATTTTTATTAAATTAATTTAAACTGTAAATTATTTTAACGGAAAAAAAAAAAATTTTTCATTTTAGAAATCTAAAAAAAAAAAAATGTCTGCAAGTGAGAAAAAAGTTTAAAACGACTAAAAAATCAATGTTAATTTATTATTATTATTATTATTATTAAATTCGATTATTTTTTTAATTTTTTGGGAAAAGTGTTTAATTCAATCGAGAAATTCAAAAAGATTTCCTTTAATTTAATTTTAATTGTCATAGTCCGTTAAAAAAAAAAAAAAAAAAAAAAAAAAAAATTTACTCTTTTTCCTTCGTTAATTTTCTTTTTACTTAATTTTTTTTTTGTTAAACAATTTGCGACTTATTTTCCTTTTTGGGGCTCACGGTCTGAGGGTTTTCACCCGCCGCAATTACCCGACCGTGTCCCTTTAAAAAGATTTGACTTGTTTATGCGGTGTGAAGACTTGTTTAAATTCATTTTATTATTATTATTATTATTATTATTATTATTATTATTATTATTATTATTTGAATACAATTGTTTTTTTTTTGTTTAAATTAATTTCAAAGTGAAATATATATATATATATATATATATATATATATATATATATATATATATATATATATATATATATATGTATGTAAATTATTCATTCTTCACGTTTCTGGAATCTTGAGAAAAATAAATTTTTCCATTCGAAATTTTTTAAATTATTCTAATCGCAACGATTTAACATAAAAACTATCGAATTTTCCCCCCCCCCCCTCAAAACTATTATTATCGACTTTCTTTTTTTTTTTTTTGCACTTTTTCAAATCATCAGACGTTTTTAAAACGCCTATTATTATTATTTTTCCCCCCATTTTGATGATTTTAAAAAATCATTTTCGATAAAATCTTTACGTATTATTATTATTATTATTATTATTATTATTATTATTATTATTATTATTATTATTATTATTATTATTATTTTTAAACTCCTACGAAAAAAAAAAAAAACTTTGTTTTGATTTTTCATTATTCGTTTTAAAAAATTTTTTTATTGATCGAATTTTCTCCCCACCGTGCATTCAAATCTTATTTTGATAATTACAATTTAAATTTAAATTTAAAAAAAAATAATAATTTTTTGTGTCATTGTTAAATTACAAAAAGCAAATTTGCTTTTTGTTTATAATTAAAAAGTTATTTAATATTTTTTTTTTTTTGAAAAACTATACATTAATAACTTCTCTTTTTATATTAAAATTAATTTAGGTGAGGAA